GAGATACCTGATGAGGTTGAATTGCCATAAATGAATTTGGAGTTAGCCTAATGTTAATAAAATCCTACTCCTCCATAATAAGGATTATCAGGAGAAATAGCTACAGCATCATTCTTTTCTATGGTAGCAGAAAGACGGAAAACCAACTTGTAAATCACAAACTATGCAGGAAAGTCGGTGATTTCTTTTCTCTATTAACATCTGAAAAAATTAAAAGGGAGTCCCCTTAGGGAAAAGGGCGGCATACAAATAAATAAAGGCATACAAATAAAATGTCATAAAATTAATTTAAGTGTGAAATATAAATAGGGACTGGCTGGTGAGTGCTCTCCATATTTGATCAGAGAATTGCAGGGAAGGACTGGGAAAGATGAGCATAATAACACAAAATCTAATAACAATGGAGCATGATTCCCATAATTGTTACCCTTTTTTTAAAGAGTACACATACATTCATTTTCTACAGTGTGTTACAGTCATAAGGCTTGGGAACCTGTCAAATTCTAAACATTAGTAAACTCAAACTCACTGTGTTAGTCAATGTAGCTATTGCTGCGTAAGGTTCCTGGTTTTGTAACTTTGCCACATCCAGCAGCCCACAGTTATTGGTCTTCTCAAATGATTATAAGAAGGCAGAACACTGTGTCAGGCGATCTCCTCTAAAACTTGAATTGGAAATTTGCGTTCAAAGAAGGTACCTGAATTGCATTGATCATTCTGGTCAAACTAATTGGTTATTTATGAAGCAATTACATGAACTTAAGAAATATTTTCTCAAACATAGGCTATTAAAAGAGAACAGCATGTTATTCAAAGAGGTGATATTTTCATAATAAAATATACCACCACTACATGCTCTATGCAGCCTACTACAACACTGGGTTAATCCTTCATAGAAAACAAAGTCCTGGATTCTGGATAGCTTCAGTAGTTCGTCTGGCTTTTCCAAGAAAATTGCAATGTTTTTCAAGAACATAAACCCAGAGAATATAAATTTATACAGATTTTCCGCAACTGCTGAATAAGGATCATTTCAGTATATTCACTGCGCTGTGAAGAGTCAGAGCATCAGTGTTTAAACCCTTTTCGCTATCAGTTAAAAAAATTCTCTGGGGGTATAGTTGATAAGGACATCTGGCTAAATCTTTGCAAACTGCTTGAAGTTAAAATGGACAGTATTAAGCAAACTGGGTTTAACATTTGATGGTATAAGAGCTGTGGTGGTGCAGTGGTTAGAATGCAGTATTGCAGGCTAGCTCACTGCTCATTGTCAGGAGTTCGATCCTGACTTAAGGATCTACCTTCCATCCTTCCGAGTTGGGTAAAATGAGGACTCAGATTGTTGGGAGCAGTACGCTGACTCTGTAAACTGCTATTGCTAAATAAAGTAGCTTCCCTTATCTGCTGTATCAGGCTATACTCTAAATTTCTGTCAATTCCACCTTTTTTCAAGTCTCTTTAACAGAGCTTTTGGATTTGGATTTATATGAGATTTATGTGCTTATATTCTTTATTTTGTTTTTAAGAATAGAGCTGGTTTGGTTTGTTGATAAAATTCAAAGGCAGATCTTACTAGGAGATGTATATATCTTTGTGAACACACCTAAGTTCTGCTGCCCACCTCATGTACTCTATGACTGGTTCTGTTTCTTCTCCCCAAATGTGCTCAGCACTTTCCCAATGGCTGTGAGAGGCAGCTGTGAGAGGCAGTTGACAAGAATGGTGCTTATGAGAAGCTCTTGAGAAGCACCTGAGGGTAAAACCAGAAGCAATGGATGGAAACTAATCAAGGAGAGAAGCAACCTAGAACTAAGGAGAAATTTCCTGACAAAAAGCAACCTAGAACTAAGGAGAAATTTCCTGACAAAACAATTAATCAGTGGAACAACTTGCCTCCAGAAGTTGTGAATGCTCCAATACTGGAAGTTTTTTTTTTAAAGAGATTGGACAACCATTTACCTGAAATGGTATAGGGTTTCCTGCCTGAACAGGGGTTGGACTAGAAGACCTCCAAGGTCCTTTCCAACTCTGTTATTCTATAGTATTGTGACAAGCTTTCTTCAGTGGAGGCTCTAATTCAATGGCATTGTACTATATATTCTCCAAAAAGTAATGATTGCAAGATCCCTAGACATGGGGCTTCTGTACTTCTGCGGAGATGAAATTTTCTGGTCATAAACTAGTTGCAACTTAAAAAACATAATGTTTCTTATGACCGAAGACTAGAACAATGCAATATAAAAAAGTAAAGAAATCAAATCATCACAAGGGGAAAACCATACAAATGCAATCAAGATATAATCAAAATTACCCCAGGTACTTAAAAACAAAATAGCAATAAAAAAGTCAAAGCTATAAGAATAACAAGAATTACAAGCTGATGTTATTTTAGAGATGAAATGGATAAAATCAAGATAAAATTAGTTATTGTAAACTACCCTATAAAAATACACCAGATAATGTAAAACAGGAAAAAAGGATGAATAAAAGAAGTGGGACTAAAGTACCCTGGCCAAAAACAGCAAGCATACATATAAAAAATGTTTAACTATTCAAAAATGTTGTTATAAAGCTTAGAACAAAAAAGAAAAAAGAAAGAAATAGAAAAAGACCCCCCAGTATAAATATAGAAGATAGAACATCCAATAGAGTTAGAAGCAGGAGTTGGCGTCAAAGATTTCAGCAACGGGTTCTCTGCCTGGTTGCTGGCTGGGCGTGGCCATGATGAGTGTGGCTAGTTGGCCTCCTGCACCACAGCGGGGAGGGGGAGACATTTTCACCTTCCCGGCTTTCCTCAAGTCTGGGAGGGTTAAAACTGCCTCCCCTGGGCTCCGGAGGCCCCCTGGAGGCTGAAAACAGGCTTGTTTCTGGCCTTCCGGAACTTCTTGGAGGCCTTCTTTTTCCCCCTCCCCAAGCCTACGCATAGGCACTGCACTTACCTCGCATCCAAACCAGACCGTGTGGAGACTCGTGGGAGGGGCAGGGTGGGTGGGGCCAGCCAATGGTGGGATTTGGAGGTTCTCCGAACCAGCCATAACCTTAGCTACGGGTTCTCCCAAAGCCAGGCGATCCTGTAGCAGCCAACCCCTGATGAGAAGGGACCCTGGAGGTCCTCCAATTCAAACCTCCCTCCTTAAGCAGAAGACCCTATACCATTTCAGAAAAATGGTTGCCCAGTCTCTTCTTAAAAACCTCCAGTGATAAGAGCACCCACAACTTCTGAAGGCAAGCCAATCCACTGGTTCGTTGTTCTTTTTTTTAAGACAAGTTTTATTGCAATCCCCTTCCTTCCCAGAAAATATCTCACGAATTCCCCTTTCCCAATCATTAACATTTTACATTCCTAACATTGTTTAAATTACATTCAAAATTAATAGTATTTATTTAATTATCTACTTTACTGGTTAATTGTTCTTATTGTCAGGAAACCTCTCTTTAGTTCTAGGTTGTTTCTCTCCTTGATTAGTTTCCATCCATTGCTTCTTGTACTGCCTTCAGGTACTTTGGAGAATAGGTTGACACCCCCCCCCCATTGTGGCAGCCCTTCAAATATTGAAATGCTACTATCATGTCACCCCTAGTCCTGCTTTTCAGTAGACTAGACATACCCAATTCCTGCAACCCTTATTCATATGTTTTAGTCTCTATCCCCCTAATCAGCTTTTATTGCTCTTCTCTCCACTCTTTCCAGAGTCTCAACATCTTTTTTTGTATTTTGTGGTGACCAAAACTGGATGCAATCATCCAAGTGTTAGGTTACCAAGCCATTATAAAGTGGTACTAACAGTTCACATGATTTTGATTTTGTCTCTTTGTTGATGCAGCCTAGGACGGCATTGGCTTTTTTGGGCACACTGCTGGCTCATATTTAAGTGATTGTCCACTAGGACCCATAGATCCCTCTTGTAGTTACTGCTGTTGAGTCAAGTTCCACCTATTCTATATTTGTCCATTTGGTTTTTCTTGTCTTAAGTGTAAAACTTTAATTTTCTCTTAAATTTTAATTTCATGTTGTTAGCTAGGTACCAGTGTTCAAGTCTGTTGAGATGCTTCTGAATCTTCAACCTTTCTTCTGGGGTGTTCCTGCCAGCTTGGTGTCATTTTCAGATTTGATTAATTCCCCTTCTGGGCAAACTTTGTCAGCAACAGGAGGAAGAAGATGGTGAAGGTCAGCTATGGGTGACAGGGCCAGTGGAGCACAGGGCTGTGAGAATGCCTGGGGCTTCACCCTATGGAACTGGGATGGCTGGCCACAGCACAGGTCTTCAAGTGGCACTCAGTGATTCTGGAGCTGAAGTGGTGGCCTATGGGTGATAGCAGTTGGCTGACGCTGCTGAAGGCCCTGGACCTCTACTTCAACTGTGGAACTGTCAATGACTGCCACTGGGCAGGGCAGCCAAAAGGGCAGCGATGGGGAGAAGATAGGCTGGTGAGGAGAGCTGAAGCTCACTGGCAGTTGTGAGTTGGCTGCCAGGCAGCCAGATGTTTATCAGGTGTTTATAACATGGAGTGCTGCAATAGCCTTCAGGGACCAGACATACCTTTGGTTCATTGCTGCCACCACTTCAAACAGTCACTAAACGAATAGTCGTTAGCTGAGGATGGCCTATATGCATTTTTACCTTTTGCTTTAGAAATGGTTGTAGAAGGTGAGCTATGTTAGTCCAGGGCAGTCCAAATAAAAAAGATTCTGGTGAAGTAAATGATGTTTTGCTATCTTTACACCTTTATTTTTCTTTCAACCTTATCCTTCTTTATTACAATATCGATATGGGAATAAAGGAAAATATGCTCTTAATCAATTAGACCAACATGTGCATGTTTATTAAAATGTGTATATTTAGTTTCCCCCCTCCTTTTCTGAGGGGGAAGCAAAATGGAAAAGCATTTGATCGATTCAGACAAGAAAAGCCAATTTTAAACAGAAAACAGCGTTTTTGTTGCCTTTTGAAATGTAGCTGTCAATCTATTGATTTCCCACGTCTTATTTCCCATTTCAGCCTCTTGGAGCCAGTGATTATTTGGAAATATCCAAGAATTTTGATCTGGTTTTTGTTCATAATATACCTCTCCTTACAATGGCAAAAAGAACCCAAGCTCGCCGCTTCATCACTCTCATTGATACTTTTTATGAAAAAAAGGTAAGCATTTGGTTTGCAGGTTCTTATAAGATGAATGCATCTGGAATTATTTTGGAAATGTTGAATGCTAATTAATTAATTAATTAATGCCTGGCAAAAAGGCATCAGCATATATTCATTGATCACACTGCATTGCCATGTGAGCTATTAAAGCCTTGACTGTTAAGATTAATGTGTTGTCTAATTTAATTTAAATTACTGTATTTTCTTCTTTAGCTGCCAGCTGCATTAACATTTACAATGGCTCAGCGGTTAAAGACACCAAGCTTGTCAGCTGGAGAGCTGACAGCCCAGGTTTGAGAACAGAGTTTGCGGCATGGGGTGAGCTCCCATTACTTGCTCCTGCTCCTGCCCATCTAGCAGTTCTAAAGCATGCAAATGCAAGTAGATAAACAGGTACCACTTTGGTGAGACGGTAACAGCATTCCGTGCACTTTTGACATACAGCTAGGCTGGCCACATGACCATGGAAATTGTCTTTGGACAACCCTTGCTGTCTCAGCCAAGAAATGGAGATGAGCATCGCACCCTAGATTGGGTACGACTGACAGGGAAACTTTTATCTTTTTTTTAACTGCTAGATGAAGTCACTAAAACAGCAACATTGTCAGTGGCTAATAAAGATTAGAACTAAGATAAGCAAATAGATGTCACTGAATTTGCAACATAGTTGTTTTTATTCAACAAATGGGCAAATTTAGGATTTGTAAGCAAAATGCATTGTGTAAGTCTTATATGGTCACTTTGTGAAATTGCACCTTCACAAAAAGAAAAACAAAACTGGGCACTCAAACAGCCTAAAAGGCAGTGATTTTCCATTTGTATCTTAGGAAGTTAGAAAATACAGAGCAGTTCAATTTCATATGGGAGAAAAATATGCCACAAAGTTATTTTATTGGTTTTGTTGCAAAAACAAAACTCTTACAATAGCAATCTCTTGAAAAACTGAAAACAAAAGGTACGTTACAAATCAAAATCAACATTTGGGCAGATGTACTTGCTTCCAAAATTCCTATAGGTTTGTATGAAAGACTATAGAATTAAAATAAAAAATAAAGCAGGCGGATCAGCCCAGGAAAGAGCAGATCTATGTTCTTCTCCCGAGGAAATAGGAATACCTCAAATAATACTAGAAACACAATGTTTCCCCCACTGATTGAAGAAGCTTCCACCTGCAGAGTTCATCTTCACCACTTTTTAAAGATGATATGGTTTGGAGTTTTAGGATGACTGAAGGAGACAGTGAATTTGTTTCCATTTCCTTTCATCACCCAGGCTCCCTCTGAGGTGTCGATAATAATGACGTCTTTTCAGACTTTTTGTTTGGATTGATGTGGAAAAGGGTAGTAAGGACATTATGTTGATTTCCTTCGTCTTATCTGGCATTCTGCAGTGGAAAACCCTATCTACATACACATGCTTGTTTTCAGTGTATATCAAAAATGTAGATAATTACCATCTACACACAGACACACACAGACACAGACACACACACACACACACACACAAACAGACAAAGTTTGTCATTGTTGCCTGCTTCCTAAGGCTGAGAAAGAGTGACTGTCATAAAATCACTCACAGCCTATCACTTTGCACGAAAGGTGGGACTTGAATTAACTGTCTTCCTGTATTTGCCACCTTGAGTTGATGGAATATAAAAAAGATTGGATAAACTGTTTAATTTGGCCTTTGATTTTTTTTCTCTTGGATCTCCTGCTAAACATTTTCATTCAGTGACCCTGAATCATAATATGGAATGTGGGGAGCATTTTATCGTCTTCCTCAGAGTAAGAGAGTGAAAGCATTGCTATCTACTGGATTTTTTCTGAATAATTTTAAGTTAAAGAAAACATTCAGTATGTTTTGCCGCTGCCTATCATGTCAAATTCATCCAATTAAATTGTTTTAACTGTTTTTACTGAGAAATTGCACAGTTTTGATTCCAGACAATAGTTCTGTTCAAACCACTTACAGACTTTTGTTGGGTAGCTATTCCGGATTATTTTGCATGTGTTGATTTATTTTCCAAAATGCACAGATGAGTAAAATGTTAATGAATTTGCCCCAAAGTGACACTCAATTTAGAATAAACAACTACTCTTACATTTAGTCTTGAGTTGTGGATCCTCTAATGAAATAGTAATGATAAATGCGGCACTTAGATTTACAAAAGTTTCAATCATGGAAGGAAAATCAGCAATATTAAAACAACTTAAAGGTTCTTTGTATTTAAGCTGATGTTTTAAAATGTAATGGAAGATATTAAGCTTCACCTTATGTGTGATTATAGACATGCACTTAAATATTTATGCAATCAGGACATATCGATTGAGATTAAATTCTTTTTCAAAAGTGTACTTGGAAAATAATGCACACACACGCATCCCTTCTAGTTCAGCAAGAAATGTGGGCCATTTCCAGAAAATACATTTTCTGCTGACTAAATGCCACTCATTGGTTTTAGAAGAACCTTAGCTCCTTGAGCAGCATAGCACTTCTGTGTGAACAGAAGATTCAGAGAGATGTTTTTTTTATTAGTAGAACAAAGCAGGATTACTTCTTTCCTCTAATGCTACATGTGTAACATGTTTGGACTTTCCCACAAGCATTGTTTCCCAACTATACAAGCTCAGAGCTCCTGGTTTTGGGTTCCACCACAAATCCGCGAAGCCCTTCTGCGCGGAGACATAAGCGCGTAGACTAATTTGCACCGTTCTAAGCGCTAAGGAAAAACGCGACCCTATCGCGATGACATAATCGCGGAGGGCAAAATCGCGCATTCCCAAGCACTCAGTACCCAAAACCTAACCCTAAACCTAACCCTAAACCTAATCCTAATCCTAATCCTAAACCTAACCCTAAACCTAATCCTAAACCTAACCCTAAACCTAACCCTAAACCTAACCCTAAAACAAATCCCTAAACCTAATCCTAACGCTTACCTTAAATGAAGTTGGCTTTCTGCCGCGGCGCCGATTTAAAGCGCCCTTCTGTTGCCGCGCTGTTGTCGCGGTGGTGATGACGCACGGTGATGACATCGCGGCTTTAGCGCCACAATTTTATCGCCGCGATTTTGACGTTCGCGCTTATGTCGTGCCACGCTGGTTTTGACCTCCCAGAGAAGGAACACCAATGTTTCTATCCTTTGTGTGAATTTTAAGCAACACTGTCCTGTTCGGTAGTGTGGCTTTCTTTAAGATAGATCACTGTCCCCTTCTAGCTCTCAAGTCTCCTTTCTGCCTGCCTCAGTGAACTTTTGTGGTATGATCCCTTGGGCTTCTTACATGTCATATTTCACTTGCTATATCCTGACATCCTGCGTTTGTAAGCATACAGTTCCCATACCACTGACCTCCATTACATGGATATTTTCTTGAAGGATTTACCTTCCTTACAGTACCCTAACTTTGTTCACTTCTGTAATCCATTTCCTTCCAGGACCATGTTCTGTTCTTTTGAGTAAATCTTCTCCAGGAAAATAAAAAAAGGAAACCTATTTGTCTCCTCAAATACATAGTGACAGTTTAAACTATACCTCTGCAGCAGCAGCATTGGGGAAGATTAACCTATTGGGTGATGCTTCTTTCTACCATACTAGAGAATTTGCATAGTAAAAACTACAATACAGATTTCTTATCCTTCAGAGAGAGGGGAGAGGGAGGGAGGGAGGGAGAGAGAGGGAGAGGGAGGGAGAGAGAGAGAGAAATATTCCCTTGGTGCTGCTGTCATTATGGCCCATAAGAACCCTTATCAGTTTTTTCATGGACATACGATGGGAGAGATCAGTCTATTTCTGTTCCATGTCACTTTTCTTTTTTCAAGGTGCATTCGTAGGATTATTTTCTCCTGTTTCCAGATGAATCTATGTTTTTTTTAAAAAAAATGGCTGTACAAAATTGTGTCTTTAAATGTGTGTCTTTAAATGTATTTTCTCCCAAAATATTATGTTTAATTATATTTCATTTGAATATATATGCATTTTAATTTTTAATTGCGTGAGGGGTGAGAATTACTTTGAAATGGGGAGATGGTCTGATTATGTTGTTATCCATACATGACCCCCCAAAATGCAAATGAGTTCTGTTTAGGCCAGAATAAAATTCCCAACATCCTGGCTTCTATTAATAATTCCCCCTCAGCAGAGGGCAGTGCACAAGGATAACCCTTTTCCTATTGAACAAAGTAGGAGCATCTGAAAGGAGACAAGTAGGCTAACATTTGCTTCTCCGAAATCCAAGAAATGCATCCATAGTGAGATTGCAATTAAAGGAAAGATTGGTTAATGACTCTGTCTTTCAGAGGCTTGACATATTTATTACAATACCTTGCAGGAGCTAAGGGAAAGAAACTAATCAACTATTTCCATTTTGAGGTAAATCTCATAAGGACAAATAATTTTAGTTGTGTAAAAGAATCCATAATAGAATCCATAATGATACTATTGTCCTCAAGCATTGCCTAATTAGCATTTATTCTCATCTCAATTTTTTTAAAAAAAAATTAAGAGAGGGCTACCTCTCTGTTTTAAATGAAGAAGGATCATCTAAAGCTGTATTTAAGACATCTAGATCATTTATGAAAGTCCCCATCGCTTTGCAAAGGGATTTCTTCTTTCTGTGGCCTTTCCTGGAAGGACAGCAGAATAGCATGTCACATACCGTAGTCATTCCAGAAGTCCTGAAGGAAAAATAAGGTGTGCTTTCCAAAGAGTGTAGTGTTGTTATTAGCCTGCTGCGATTTTTCAAAGGTTAAGGCTGAAAAGATTCCTTGACCGCTACCTGCACATTAGAAAAAAAATGCAATTGCTCTGCATCTCTATCCCGCCAGGCAAGTATTTTCTCGGGAAATTTTGCTTTAATTGACTGAAAAAGGCTGCACCTGTAAGATGTCATGCCAAAATGGGCAGTAGTATGAAGCAGGTACTTTAGAATCTATGCAGCCTTAGTGAGGAGATTCTAAGAAAACCTGGTTTGCTTTCCAGGTGTTTTGGAACTCTTGAACAGCTGGATCTAAAAGTCTTCATATTTGAAAGAAACGTAATGCCTGGATGTCTGGCATTACTGGATGTAGGTGTGTGTGTGTGTGTGTGTGTGTGTGTGTGTGTGTGTGTGTGTGTGTGTGTGTATCTTAGACCTATATTGCAACAGCTGTCCACCGAACTTGACAGGGATTATGGGTACCCACCATACATGCTTCCCTGCTTTCTTTGTTTTATCCCTAGGTTGAAAGGTTTTGGAATCCCTCATCTTATTTTTCCTGCATCTTAATAATGTATAAGGCAAAAATATTTTTAAAAACTGAATGAAAAC